CTCTTGTAATTGGTGCAAATAACCTGTAGCAATTTCTGTTGTTTTGCACATTTCTATGCATCTCTCCAATGTGAGGTCTGGTTCCCGCAGCAGTCTTTCTCTCAGTTTGGGGTCTATTATACCATTTATTAACTTATCCCTTATTAGGCCGTCCCGTAGATCGCCAAAGTTACAGGTTAAAGCCAGTTTTTTAATTTCTGACAGGTAATAAATGAAATTTTCTCCCTGTTTTTGATTACGAGCGAAGAATATGTGACGATTAATAGTTTCATTAGTTTTAGGAAGACAATATTCTTTCAGGGCTGTGAGAACTTTCTCACAATCACTTTTTTCTGGTTCTGTCAGGTTAAAAGTTTCAAATTTATCCAAACCCTCTTCACCTAGTAGGTGCAATAGTATTGCCGCTTTTGTGTCTGAGGGTTTTTTGTGACATTCATTTGCACACATGTATAATTCTACTTGTCGTAACCATGTTTTAAAATTTTTTGCAAGGTCCCCTTCAAATGATAATGGCGGAGGTTGCGTTAAGGCAAGACTAGGTACTGTGTCTGCCCTTATAATGACTGACCTGTTTGTTGTTGGAGCGAGTCCCTGGTTCTGATTATTATTCGACTGCGCCATATCATATTATGTTAAACTTTATAAATTAAACAATTTATTTTTAGAGCATCACGTCTTATAATTCACACTTATTATTATTACCATAGATTAACTCACATAGATTATATAACTATAATATAGACACAGATTATATTCAATAATGTCACACTTAGGAGTAAAAAAAAAACAGAATTTAAGCATTGATAGTCCAGGAAATGAAGCTTTTTGGCTCGCAATTTTTTCGTCCACCATGGATTTACTTGAAATTTTCACAAAGGGTAGGGAACAGCTCAAGGATCATCTTCTATATTATGCCGCTGTACGCTAGAGCCTTGGGGGTGGTTGCCACCCCATCTAAGGCGTGGATTTTTTTTATTAAATTTTAACTGAAGGAATCGACGGGAAAAGTAATTCTAAGAATAGAATGGTATTTATGTTTTTCAAAGTTAAAAGTAACAGATTTTCGACGAAAAAATCTACTTTTTTAAAAGGTTTTTTGCGAAAAACTCTAAAAATATGCATTTTATCAAAAAAGCGTAGAAAGTCAAATTGTAGCTTTTAAAAAAACGACATCAATACGTTTTTTATGAATTTTCTATGACAAATATAAACTAAGATACAGCTAGTTAATGCTTAGCTTTTTTCGTCAAATGGATAAATTGGAAGAATTACAGCGAAATAACTAGAAAAATTTGCATTAGTTCGAATAACTTTCAAACTTTCAAACAAATAAAAAACAATGTCTGTGCGGGACAGAAAGTGATTTGGACTTACGATTTTTTGTTTTCTCCGATAGCCTTTAGAGCAGCGCTGGTCTGCCTGTATTTTCGTAAGTTTCCGGATGTTGTAGGAATGTTATCTTAAGTTAGTCCTAACTGTCCTTCACGTAATCTGTTGATTTGATGATGTTCCTTTGTGCTCGTTGAACAACCGACGCGCTGACTATATGTAATTTGGATCGGGACTTTTCGTAAGTCGTCCGGTCGCTGTGGCGTCGTAGTAGTAACAGGCAGCTGACAGATACTGCCTGTCTACCCTCGTATTACAATAAAAAATCGTCCAAGGGATAGGAAAAGGGGGGTAAGCGGATGTAATGTTACGTTATACGCATTCAATATATTTGAAACCGAACAATGTCTCTAGCATGAAAATTGACCGACTTATGATCAAAATAAGATCGGTACCCGCTTTTTTTTACGAAAAAAATCTGTGAAAACAAACCCCTAAATTACCCCCTAATTAAAATTGATCGCCACCCTTCTGTAATTCTCTTTATATATGTATGTACTATTAATACACCCATGAAGTTTGACCAATTTAAAATGCCAAATTTATGAAAAATTGGAGCTTAAAGAGAAAACCGTTTTTTTTCAATTTCGTGTTTTTCACCAGTTTCTTAAAAATATCTCCCAAAATACTAAAGATACGAAATAAACGATATAGTACTAAATTGTAGCTTTTTAATGACTAAATATCCCTGTGTGCATATTTTTTGTACAGTGAATATTCGGCGAGATATAGCCGTTTAACACCTACATTTACGATCGAACATCACCTTATTCAAGCACTTTAAACTCACCCCATTTGAAAATTAAGGGATCTTAAGTAATTTAATTCACATAGTCTTATAGCTCCTGAAAAACTTTCTAAAATCGTTTCTGTAAAAAAAATTCTAACACCTAAAATGAAGGAGCTATGGAGCTATGCTTAAAAAACCGATAATTTTTTTTTCAAAAAAAAAATTGGATATTTTTAAGGGTAGTTTTTAACAAGGGTAGGTTGAAAGATTATGAAATTGTATCCTATAGCATGAAACAATAATTTTTTAACTATTTTCACCCATATTTGTGTTTTTTATTTTATTTTATAATTTTTGATTTTGTACGTAAAAACGTACAACAGTACAATATAGAAAATGAACTAGAGGGTGAAATAAGCCCAATCCCAAATTTTTGTACAAACCGGTGCTGGACGAAAAAATTGCGAGGTTTTACCATTTTTTAGCTTCATTTCCTGGACTATGAACAAGATTAAAAATTAACAGAAAAAAAATCCAATCAGGTGTGAAGCTTGATTTGTACCAGTGCTTTATGTCAGCACTTCGCTTGGCTATTCGTCTTTGTTATTTGTAAACTCGAAAACAGTCTCTCCTTTTTGCTCCCTAGAGTGAATGATAAGGACAACCTGCTGTCAAAATGACAAATAGCAAATACGAATGTCCAAGTGGAGTGCATTAGAGCAAGCGAACAGCCACTAAACGCGTTCACAAGCTGCGGTCGTGTTTTTTCATACATTTGTTTTACATACATTTTTTCATACGACGACCTCCGTGGTCGAGTGGTTCGTACGCCGGGTTTCATGGTGTCGCCGACTCGAGAGGTTCGAATCCCGGTGGGGGCAGATGTTTGTGTGATGAATACGAGCATTTTTACTCCAGTCATGGATGTTTAATATGTATTTCTATATAAATATACTTATATATGTACAGTATATGTATTCTATCCGTTACCCTAGCATCCCATAACACAAGCCGTACAGTGCTTACTTTGGGGCTAGGCTAATTGGTGTGAGTGTTGGAAATATTTATTTTATTTATTTGTATAGTATCGGCGCAAACTAAGCGGTCGAGTGGCCCCTACTAAGTTATTAGCTGCGTTCAGTGGTTCAATGTGCGTTACTCTAACGCTCGTGGGTAGATGCACTTACCGCTATTAGAAAAAAAAAACGGCCAAGTTTGAGTCGGACTCTCGAACGAAGGGTTACAGGGGGCCAATCGCCTAACTGGATTGCTTTGGAAAACGCTATCGCTTACGATTTCATTTTGTTATTTCTAACCGCCGAAATACCTCACGCTCATTTTCTTTAACATTGTTATTACCAATGCAAAAGAAAAAAAAAGAGCGCGAGGCATTTGAAAACCTCAGGGGGCTAGAAATAACAAAATGAAATCGTAAGCGATAGCGTTTTCCAAAGCAATTCAGTTAGGCGATTGGCCCCCAGGTCGCGGCATGTAAATCTATCTATCTAACACTGAACAAAACACTGGAGGATAGCTGCGCATACCCGCGCACCTCGTTTCCCCTTCTTAATTTTTATGGTTCCGTACCTCAAAAGGAAGAAAACGGAACCCTTATAGGATCACTTTGTTGTCTGCCCGTCCGTCAGTTAATACCGTTTTTCTCAGGAACGCGTGGAGGTATCAAACTGAAATTCATATCTAATACTCATGTCTACTGTCCCTTGGAGCTGTGAAATAATCAAACTTCTAAACCAAAGCAATCAAAAGATACAGCCGTTTATGTCTCAAATTTCGGCTAATTTTCGAAACTCTCACGGGAATCAAAACCTACAGGGTACTTCCCGTGAACTTAGAAGGTACGAAGTAACGTCTTATAGTACCAATAAAGTTGTTATAAAGTTACTCATGAACGCGTAGAGGTATTAAAATGAGTTTGTACGGAACCCTCGGTGCGCAAATCCGCCTCGCACTTGGCCGGTTTTTTACTTGTGCGCAATAACGGTTAGCGGTAGTTTCGTGCCGCGACTTATACATACCATTATCGCCGTTTTGTCGTGAACCTACTAATTCGTCCTATTAGTAGGACCACGGGTGAGACCTATTTCTGCCTGTTCCACTTTTGTTTATACTATATAAAAAACTTACCATTTTATATAGATTATTGTTTCTATAGAACTAATATCTCTCGGAGGTTGGGGGTCTCCCCATCTGGACTTACTTTTAAAACTGTTTCTATAATACTGATGTATCCCCTAGGTTGGGGAGACATCAGATATTACTTTTAAAAGTGTTGTATTGAGTATCTGTATATCCCGTTGTCAAGCAGCTTCCATTAAAATCATAAATATTTATAAAATCATTATTTTGAAATGAAAAACAGTAACATAGATCCATACAAACGTAAGATTGAAATTAAATTTCTATTATTTGTTATAACGACAACAGATATACATCATAATATGTGAAAATTTCAACATCACGGTTCATGAAATAGCATGTTGGTGACAGACAGACAGTGGAGTCTTAGTAACAGAGTCCCGTTTTTACCCTTTGGGTACGGAACCCTAAAAAGAACTATTTATTATATCAGTCTTAGATGCTCTAAGATAGGACCCACTATACATTAATATTGAGATGACAGAAATAATCAGAACACAAATGTAAACCAGTCTCAATAGTGTATTTCTATAAAAAAAGGTTAACACTTAAAACTAACACATGATTACTTCAATAAATATCACTTAATATCTAAAATAGTTTCATGCAGTGGCATAAAAATTGTGTTGTTCTCTGTACAGTCAACAAAACAGGTCGAGGTATCCAAAACGTACAAATTCCAGCTAGTTGAATTTAAGCTTTATCCAGCTTAACATAAGACTTACAATTGATTGATTGAAAACAAATGACACTTGTAGTAACTTTAGTAACAGTTTTCTTTTAAATATAGTTTATTAATAGTCTTCGAATTCCGGCTTATCTCCTTTAGATGCCATAGCAATCGCGCTCTTCGTCAAATCTTCGCTTTGGTGGTTCACAGTGTTTAACAGTGCCTGTAAAGTAAAAACAGCAAAGTTTATAGAAGATACTCATTACATAAATAAAGAAAAAGCAGGACAAGTGTGCGAGTCAGATTTACGCACAAAGGGTTCCGTACCGTCACCTTTACAATAGTGTCCACTATGTTATAATTCTCTAAACCAAAAATTTTATTTGACAACAGTGTATCCTTGTCATTCTCTATACAGAATGAAAAGGAGAGAATGATGCTAAATTTAGTTTTAAGTTTAGAGAAGCATGCCAGAATCCACACCATTATTAGACACTATATTGTAATATCAAAGAAAACCGCACAATCTGTGAAAATTTCAACTGCCTCGCTATCACGGTTCATGAGCTACAGTCTGGTGTGATAGGCAGACGGACAGTGGAGTCTAGTAATAGGGTGCCATTTATACCCACTGGATACCGAACCCTAAAAAATCGAGCGAGCCTCACAGTAGTCGCGTATGATGTGTAACATTTGAAATCTCACCTTATATTAGTAAAAAAAGAAATAAAACCTACTAAAAAAGGAATAAGCCATTTGAACATTATGTTCTAAAATCAAATCTAATAGCGCGCGCTTTCGCGACTTCCTGTTACACACTTCAGTCCCATTTCCAAATTCAAATGATAAAGTTATGGCGATGTACTCACTAGTTCCTATAATGATCAACCTATTTATTTCGAGTAATTATGTATACTAAAAATAAAATAGGTTCAAACACACTACCCCGTGGAACTCCAAGGTTAATTCGAATGTTGCATTAAATTCTATCCTTTTAATTTTGAGTAATCATGATACTTATAATAAAATAGGCCCCAGTAAACTACCCTGTGGAACTCTATAGTCAAGTCTTCAACAATGTCCTATCCTATCAATGTCACCACTGATGGAGCACAGACCTTCCTTATGGATGGAATAGTGAGATTAGGCCATGCATGACGTGGCCTTAGTGCGAATTGGTGGGTGCTATAGACTGCAGATGCAGCCGGGACAAACGGTTTAACGTGTCTTCCGAAGCACGGAGGAGCTCGAGATAGTCGAGATAGTAAATTTTTGGTCACCCATTCAATGATCGACCACTGCGAAAGTTGCTTAACATCAAAGATCTCAGCCGAAAGCGCTAACCACTTGCGCCATCGAGCTTCTCTAGCTAAATCTTATTTTGAAATAAATAAAGTTATGGACGCTCGTAGCGTTTCCGCCTTCGCTGAGTTACCCTCCAACTTACATGCTCGTCGGGAAGAGCTGTGCACGCATCCCACACCTACACTACTATATATCTAATATATAAAACTAGCAAACCAGTGAACCAAAAGTTCACCAAAAAAAAAAAAGGATTTAATTAATTGAGAACTTCGGAGATTTTGTGTGGTTTCGTTTAAAATAGAAATCACGTGATTTCTCGAAAACCGGAAGTGCTACGTTACTCACATCCGGTTTGTAGTCTTATCAGACTATTCTTAACTTATAACTTAAACATTCTTTATATCTATCTCTTACGGTTTGGCCGCTGAAACAGCACCACGGACGGACGGACGGACTCGTCTATTAGATAAGAGATTCTCGTACCGCGGTGTTTGTGGTTAAACTCCTCCGAAACGGCTCGACCGATTTTCGTGACATTTTATATGCATATTCAGTAGGTCTGAGAATAGGTAATCCACCCCTAAATTTTTTTTTAATTTTAGATTTTTTTTTTAATTTTTTATGATACAAAATACAAAAATACATAGAACCCTAAATATTCACCCTTCTACCACCAACCCCTATTTTTTATGGCGGTACGAAGTTCGCTGGGACAGCTAGTATTATATATAGTCGTGTGAAGCTCGTGACGTATTTCCGTTTCATCCATTTAAGTTCCATAGGATTTTTCCATTTACAAAAGAAGTTCACTTCAAAAGGCCTCAAGAAACTACCCCATGGAACTACAAGGTTAGTTATATTATGTTTCCATTAGTAAAGTTAGATTTACTTACTATGTGTTCCAGTCCTTCAGCGTTAGTCTTCTCTAGTGAGAACACCAGGTTTTGCTTGGTAGCTTGTACTGCTACTGGACTCTTGGATGCTATATCAGCAGCCAGCGACAATGCGTGAGCGATTGCACTATGAATAGGAAGAAATTCATTTAGATTTTATTAAGGTATTATAATTGTACCGTTTATTTTAGTATTTTAAAACTTGACCCCAAAGCATGGCAAAGTTCGCGCTAATATTTATCCACAGATCAGCTGTATTAACCGAACAGGCAAGTTTATGAAATTCGAAATTAATACAGTTTAAAACATAACTTTGTGAAAGGTTCCAATGCAAGAATGAGTTCCGTTGCTCGAAATAAATAAATTTTATTTTCATTTTAAAAAGAAATTGAAAATAATAATAAAAAAACTCAAGAAAAAAAAGTAATGAAGGCACTTAATAAAACACTTTTTGAACGGATCTAAGCGCGACTTAATTAGATAGATAGATAAACTTTATTCGCACCAACATGAACACATATAAAATTGAAGACTCTTATATAAATCCTTTAAAATATGCAACAAATTATATTTATACAACTACACTATGATATTTTCGTGTGCAGTAGCGATGCGAATGGGCGAAAACTCAGCGTAACATTTACTCAGAATGTAAATCGCTGATTTTCAGTTCTGACCCATATAGATGAGGTCACGCAATTAAATGTCAGATTAAAATTCACAATACAATAAACGAAATTAAAATTAAATTAAATACAAAAAATAATTAAACATTCATTGGACATATAATTCTTATGGTAGTTTAACATAAACATAAAAACAAAGAAAAACAATTTTGATAAACTGATCAGTGAGAAAATATTTATAATTTTTATTTTTAAGCATGTAGCAATTACATTTATTTTAATGTTGCTTGACTTCTTGGACACTTCAGGGTTTAACAAGTGTTTTATTAAGTGATTGATGAAAAACATAAGAAATAAATAAATAAATAAATAAGGCATATTGAAGATAAGAAGATTAAGCATTTTAACTGTTTTCAAAAACAGCAACAATAAAAATTAAAACATGCAAAATTTCTATAAAATCTCACCTTTCCTTATCTGGTAATACTTTGCTAACCAGTCCTATGTCTAATGCTTCTTTAGCATACACCTTTCTTGCTGTGTAACAAAGCTCTCTTACTATGGACGCGCTACCGATTACCTGAAAGCATTTGATACAGTATTATCAATATATATAAAAATCAATTGCTGTCCGTTAGTCTCGTTAAAACTCGAGAACGAACCTACAACCACATACTATATAATAATAATAATAATAACGTGGCAACCCCAAAAAGAAAAACGTCTCAAATGTCAATCCGATAAAAAATTAAATTTCACATATTAAATGCGTCGTTATATCGCACCCCCGGTGCGATATATTAAGATTTTTACGTGATGAAAAGCTTATACTGCTTAGCTATTCATCTAAAAAAATTCAAAAAAAACTTTAAATATTAAACGCTTAAATGTTTAAACGCTTCTCCTGAAAAAATGATTTTTTTGCATAAGTGACAGTGTATACATTATTATGCAGATTTAGTATTGCTAAAGTAATATTTAAAATGTTTATTATTTAAAATTTAAAAAAATATGCATTTCAAGAAATGAAAAAAAGTGCTGATGTGATGACACCTGTCAATATAACTCCGATGGCTATTTCACGAGACAAACAATGATTAAAAGACCACGACGAACAAGAAAAGCACGCCCTCCATCTCCGGACTCGTCGCTCAGCTCCACCTCGCAGCCGACCCCGCCGACCGAAGAAACCCCGTCGGTACCTACGACAGCGTCGAGCTCAAGCAACCAGTACTTCTCCCCGCCGACGTCGCCAACACCTGTGCGCCGGCGGGGGAGACCCCGGCATCCAGCAAGCTTAGGGTCCAGGAGCCGACCGGCTCCGAACCGGGCCCCCGCTGCCGGTGGTTGTGTGCTGCGCATGCGATGGACTCAGTCAATAAATGAGAACGTCACGCGCGCATACTATGGGTCTACAGAGGGAGGAACTAATCTCACCGCGTACCGTGTAAGGATGCCCTCCAGCCCTCAACGTTTTGGCCCAGCGACTGTCGGATAAGGTGCGGGTCATTCAACGTAGTCATAGGTTGGATGACACCGTGCTTGATAGGCTACGCTTGGAGATGCTTCGGTGGAGACCGAAATACTTACTTCAACTAATAATTAGGGCGAGATCAGAATTGGTAGTAGTTATTGCACCTGAAAGGTCAGTTAGTGGTGGAGTGTGAATCTGGAGGTCATCGGCGTAAAGGTGATAGGAACTGAAAAGTGACTGTGTGATAGAATTTATGAAAATTGAGAAGAGGAGGAGATAAGACGCCACCCTGAGGAACACCAGCATTTTTTGGGATTGGAATAAGATATGCATCTTTCCAGGATGCAGGAAAACACCGGTTGAAATAGAGGTATTCAGGATGTGAGTAATTACAGGAGTCAGGATGTCAAGGATGGGAAGGATCATTTTCCGTGTCACTACCTACTGCACTGGAGTGAATCATTTGTATGGTTCTCTTAATATCACAGTCAGCAAATTGATGTAAGAAAATAGGAGAAAGTTTGAGTTGGCAAAGTTCAAAGACGTTGTAAGGTAGCAGCCTTACGGTAGCCGTCCAAAGGCACAGAAGTGGAAAAGTAACTATTAAGCTGATTAATATCTAGATTATTATTAGGAATACTGCTATGAGATTTGCCAACTCCGAGTGATTTTAGGAATTTCCAGACTTTTGGGGGATCTTCATTTTCAATTTTCAGATCACCATTAGCATACTGAATACACAAGTGGATGTTTTTGCCCATAAATAATTAAGTTAAATAAAAAGTATATCTTTAAATTTAGAAAAAATAGTCCCTCCGCACATGGAGCTACTCAAATATGACGGAATTAATCAGTAATTAGAATTACAAACTAGTTATAAACTGTATTTCGCACACGACGCTACTTACATTGCAAGGTTTCAGTCACTCCTGTTATTTCTACTACCAAATAAACACGTGCAAAAAACCTAGCAAGGGGAAATATTGGAAGCAATAAAAATGTCGAGTGGATCGAGCGAAGATGACGATGTCATTATACTATATTATCATCATAACAGACGCCGAAGGAATCGACGCAGATTTTGGATTCACCCATATATCCAAAATAATGTGAACTGCAGATTGTCAGTTGCAGCACGAGAGCTGCGTGAAACAGATAATAAATTTGTGGGATTCTATAGAATGTCCAAAGATAGCTACGTACATTTGGTACAGTTAATAGCTCCTGCTATTTGTAAAAAAAATACTAACATGCGGGAGTGCGTGGGCGCAGAAGAAAGAATTTTAATAACGCTAAGGTAAGATTTCAATTTATTTATTAGTGATTCCAAGGCTCTGTCCACCCCCTTCTGGGGATCACGGACGAGAGTATATGCATGTACCTATGTATTTAATTAGTAGCAAGGTTAACTGGCCTTGCTTCCACCCAACTTAGAATTTACCCCCTGGGAGCCCGGGTCTGGTACTTCAAATTAACATTCGATACAAAAAAACTTGCTATGTCAACAATTCATTAGATCAGCGGTTCCCTACACATTTAAATTAAACACTGATCTAATGAGTTGCTCACTATGCGATTTTGACATAACAAGTTTTGATCTACTGAATGTTGATTTGAAGTATCAGACCAGACCCGTGAAGCCCTTCTTTCATTGAAAAGAGACTTATACCCCTGTAGTGGGAACGTGGTAGTATGTTACAGTAATTACAAGTAAGTACCTACTATTAAAATAAAGAAACACCCTGATATACCACAAACCATACTTTATTATTAAAACCATATTTTAATCACCATTTGTATTAATAAGACTCGGTACTGATTCATAATATGTCAGGATTTGATTATATGCTGGTGTGACTCGCTGTCCATTTGGTACAGGCTGCTCTTGCGTGGAAAGAGAAACGTGTTGTGTTTCAAAATTATATGCTGCCGTGGATTGCTGCTCATTTAATGAGGGCATTTCTTGTGTAGAAACAAATACGCTTTGTGTTTCCAAATTATATGATGATGTGGCTCGCTGTGATGGTGCCAAAGAAGGTCTCTGGGGTTCCTCTAAAATTTTGTCCACTAAAACCAGCACTCGTCGCTTGAAGGTTCTTGTTTGACTGTCGGACATTGCTTTCATGTCTGGCAGTAAGCTTAGAAGAAACATTCGCTTAGGGTCCTCTGTTTCTATAGTGTTTTTATCAAGTTTAGCCTTTCTGGCTTTAAAGTAGTCCATAATACAGTCATCGATTGTTGAAAATGATTTCCCTTTACGACGAGTAAAGCGGCTGTCAGTACTGGAAGCAGGTGGTCTGGATAAAGGGCATGACAAGGGCGACAGTGGTTGATTGGTTATAGGAGAAGATGCAGGCAAAGGGCATGACATGGGTGATGGATTGTTTTGGTATGGTGATGGCGTGCTTTGAGATGGTGATGTCATGTTTTGAGATGATAATGGGATGTTCTGATGTAATATGGATTGCGACTCATTTACTTCTTCGTTATCTTCTTGTTCCAACACTTCTTCTACTGCTTGCTGCGGGAGATTACCTGATACAGTATTATTCAGAGTTTTTATGAATGGAATGGTAAATTGCATCGCATCGGCCAAATAATAAGGTTTCTTGTTTTTTGATGAGGATCCACTTGGAGCTGGTTTTGTGTGCCGGACGAAAACTGCGCGCAAAATTTTTCCATTTTTCTTTACATTGGCCCTCTGAAACAAAATTAACAACTTATTTTTTTGTTTCCAGGTACTTGGCAAGTGGCGATTCATTTGTGAACATCGGATACTATTTTGCTAGAGGAGATAATACAGTTGCACAGATAATCGCTGAAACTACAGTCATTATTTGGAATGTTCTAAAAGATATTTATATGCCAATCCCTAATGTAAGAAAATGGAAGAGTATATCAGAGCGTTATAGTTTGTTGTGGAATTTGCCTAATTGTATCGGTTCCTTAGATGGAAAACATATCCGAATAGAGAAATTCCCTAATTCAGGATTAAGTAATTTTAACTACAAGTCATTTCATTCTGTTGTCTTGATGGCATGTAGTGATGCGGACGGGTTATTTACATTAATTGAATGTGGCTACGCTGGGAGAAATAGTGATGGTGGAATATTTCATGCTTCAGCTATCAAACAATGGCTACAAAAAACTGCTAATATTCCCGCGCCTTCAAGATTACCAAACGACGAACATGAATTTCCCTACTATTTCGTAGGTGATGAGGCGTTTCCATTATTACGCTATCTGATGAGACCATATCCAAAACGAACTTTGAACAATATTAAAAGAGTGTTTAATTATAGACTGAGTCGAGGTAGAAAGACAATTGAATGTACATTTGGAATGATGGCTGATAAATTTGCCGTTCTAGACAGGCCTATACGTTGTCGAGGTCCGCAAAAAGTTACAAATATTATAAAATCTGTGTGTATTTTGCATAATTTCGTACGAAGCAGAGAAGGTATTCAGTATACACCACAACATTTCGAAACAACTGACTTCACTCCTGAATCAATACCTGCTCCACAAAATCTTCAAGTGACTCCAAAATCATCAGCTTATAATCTCAGAGATTATTTGGCAAATTATTTTATTAAACACCATGCAGCATTACCGTGGCAATGGAATCATATTTTGTAATAAAATAATTAAATATAGGTACTTACCAGTCAAATTAAATACTTTTCCAACTTCACTCCAAGCTCTTTCTGTTACATCCTTTCGTGAGTAATCTGTCAGTTTATAAATATATAAACATGGATACTCTTCCACTTTCTGCACAAATTTAATATTTAAGGCTTGATCATTCATTTTTCACATCAAAACACAGTAAACTCGGGTAACCTAGTAGCTCGGCGACCGGCACGACGCGTCGCGCGCGATCAGTTGCCAACGCGTTACTAACTGGTTAGTGACTAGTCGCGTCGTGTGCGAACCTGTATGGCAATGTATAGGCGGTGACGCTCAAAAAACTCGTTAGTAATTTGAGTTTGTGATTAGTTCCTTTTGAGTTGAGAGGCCTAACTGTGGTAGTTTTGAGAAAGTTTGCGCATGAACTTGCGAACTATTTCAGTTTCAAAAAATCCCGCGTTACAATGACAACTTGATACAGGAACGATGTCGGTAAAACAACACCACACTACACGCCTATATGGCTATCTGTGATTTTCAACTGGAACTATTACGGTCACCCAAGAAATACTGATGGGGCGACAAGTTAAATATTTTTTCTGATTTGGGACAAAGTTACCCGCCCGAGCTAAAGTAACCCTCACTTACGGTATAGTAAACGTACGCAGAGGAAGTCGTGGGCGGTAACTAGTTTATAACATTAGTTAGAAATAGAATCTACTTACTTTAGGCAACCTTTGCAGGGTTCCTACATCGGGTGCTAGACCAACTTCCACCTCCTTTACTTGAAACCACGCATCTTCTGTGCAATACCTGCAATTATATTTATTTATCTTTACATAGTATACAAAAAATCGTGAGCCACACATCTGAAGTGAAACATCTTTTCTTAAATAACCTTACAATAGGCGGTGCATAAGACATAGGGGAATGGAGCAGCGTACGCATCACTCATCTAATAAATGAAATTCTCGTGTCACGTAATTGAACTACTCCGAAACGGCTCGCTCGATTTTCTTGAAATTTATATGCATATTCCGTCGGTCTGAGAATCGGATATCTATTTCTCATCCCCCTAAATGTTAAGGGCAGTCTACCCTTATTTTTTTTTTGACAAAATTTTGTTTTTTTTTTGATACATCGTACAAAAATACATACAACCCTAAATTTTCACCCTTTTACCACCAACCCCTATTTTTTATGGCATGGTATAATGTAACATAATCATAAAGGATTAACTAAGTTTATTAAAATTATATTCATAACAATATTATTAACTTTTCAAGAGGATCTCGATAGTGCGGTAGTCGAAACGTTGGGCCTGCGATTGTGGAAAATATGCTGCAAATTCCGCAGTGGCCTGTCATGGGATGGGTGACCAAAAAATCCGCTATTACCCTCCATTTTTTGGCAGGCATGTTAAGCCGTTGGTCCCGGCTGCATCTGCAGTTGCAAGCATATTTGGTGTGGTGAATTGTGGTGAGTCACAGCTCGTTTTGTCTATTCCAGCTATAGGGAAGGTCTGTGCCCCAGCAGTGGGAACATTAATAGATGATGATGATGTAATTAAATACCTCATGTCTGCTGCTGTGATGAGATCAACACCAGCTCCGATACAAGCTCCATGTATGACAGTTAATACTGGCTTTATACAGTCTTCTAGTGATGATATGCTATCCTGAAATAGTCACATATAGCATATGTACTTATATATGTCACAGGCAAATTGCAGATTTACATTTTGCAAAACAGCCACTGGGATTTTCAAAGGCATATTTAAATAATGTTCCAAAATAAAGTCATTGATCATAAAAAAAATCAATTGACAACCTAAACTATAGGTTACTAATTATATTTTACTAGAATTTCTGGATGGAGTGTCTTGTTGGCTCAAAGATATGTAACATTCACACGCAGACATAATACGTGCCTCACAGATTTTATTAACAACATACATTTGCCTCAAGCAGAAAATGCCAGATACCTCGGATTATTTATTACATATATATATATACAGGAACAATGAACCTTAAACTAAAAACCTTAAAAAATATAATACAATAACTAAAATATATTACTAAAAGGAGTCCCTTTAGGCAGGGTTCCGAAGATACTGGCAGAGATACCTCTGAACTTGAACAACAGCGCCACTACAGACGTAACGAGAACTTAAAAACACATGTGACGTATATACAGATCGAATTTAACTATTCTAATTCGATAATCGTTCATGCTAAGGGTACTGAAGCGGATGTGGACATACGGACTACAGCTGTGGGGCACTGCCTCTGCTTCAAACATACAAATTAAACAACGGCTCCAATCTAAAAACGTTGCGTATGACTGATGCTCCGTGGCACGTAAAAAATGATCAATTACACAAAGGCTGAAGAGTACCAAATGTCAAGCAAAGAAATAGTCAAATGTTATAGATCACGCCTTAATCACACTAATGAAATAGCATCATGCCTCATTAGCATTGATGACTATTTCAAGAGGCTTCGGCGGAGGGTGCCCCTTAGCCTCATCAATGGACAGAACAGCTTTGCAAACAGACATATAGTGGAGAAGTCAATGGACTTTCCTCCTACATAGTCGATAGTTAGGAAGAACTAATTCACAACTCCAGGCAAAAGCTGTAGAACAGGTCGCTAGAAAAAAAACCAGAGGCTGAGCTATAAAAAGCTTATAATTTGCAAGTTTCATACCTGACATTCTTTGATATATTTGTAAAGGAATCTTCCACGGCGGCCTATGTCTTCAATGTCATTAGCTGTTGAGAAGTACTCGATCAAACTGTTTAAATCAATACCTAAAAACAGAGCAGTTATTTTATACCTTCATCTATTTTAAATAAAATCGACGACCTCCGTGGCGGAGTGGTTTGTACGCCGGGTTCGAATCCCGGGGGGGGGGGGGGGCAGATGTTAGTGTGATGAATACGAGCATTTGTACTCCAGTCATGGATGTTTAATATGTATTTTCTATATAAATATACTTATATATGTACAGTATATGTATTCTATCCGTTACCCTAGCATCCCATAACACAAGCCTTACATTGCTTACTTTGGAACTAGGCTAATTGGTGTGAGTGTTCGAAATATTTATTTATTTATTATTTATAAAATGGCTAAGCAACGGGATGGGCTTGGTCAGTAATTCTTTATGTAAATAGGCTGTTGAACTGGCATATAAGGTAGTGGCACTTATGACATTTTTGAAGTGATATTTTCTTATGGGTGGGTAAACCTATTCGTTACGTAACGCGTTACGGCGCCCGTCTGTCTAGCTTCCCTTCCTCTCACACATACAGCAGCGGTAGGCAGGGTATTCCTCTCTCACTCTAACCCACAGTGCCACTTAGATTACTTTAAGTTATCACTTCTGTCGTGTCATCGTCCTGAGACGCACACACTTTTTTTCAATGAAAATAAGAGTGGTTGCTTGATTGCTAAATAAATAAAAGAGCTTTAGAAGCTTGGTTATTGGTGCCACTAGCTCAGAATCACTTAAATTGTTGCCTACCCTTATATATATATGGGATAGTAGGGGGCCCACTGGAATCTTAATTATCAACAATAAAGCAACACCACCAAATGGTAGTGTTATTTAACTGTGAACTTCTTGTCAGGTGAAGGTTACTTTCCCAGGTAGGTGCACCAATTATTAACTCTCTCTAAAGCAATATCAATTTACAAACTATTGCTATAGAACTTTCTGTCCTATTATTATTTAGATATAATATAATCTTGTTGAATTTTGGAAGGAACTCATTGGGCATTGATAATATTTAATATTTATAGAAATCAGAAATCAATGTATCTTTATTCAAATTGGATGTATAGTACAACTATTTTGAATCGTCCAAAATTTTTTTTCCCTGCCACTCGTTATGGACATATTTTTTATACTTCATGCTTACCTGCAGTAAAGAGTTTTCCTTGACCAGATAGGACAATGACTCTACATTCAGCATCATCATGTAACGCCCGAAAGCAGTCTTTTAAGTCCCTGAAAAAGATATTAAAAAACATAATCATTTTTTCTTTTGCCAGGCCCACACACCACAAGAGTCCTCAAGGTACACAGGGTTGATAGTTGAGAATTCGTAATATTATAAAAGTTCTCTAAGGCCGTATTCAGAAAGAAAGCTGAAAACTTACCAGCGCTTATCGGCGCTGGTCCTTACCAGTAACCGGCGCACGCATATCTATGGACCAGCGCTGATAAGTACCGACACGCGCTGGTCAGCGCTGGCACTGCCATTTTAAATAAATTATCATTAAATTAATGATAATGATACGGAACCCATTGTGTGCGAGTTTGAGTAGCACTTGATTCCGTTTTTTTTTATTATGATCTATGTTGTCCGAATAATAAATGATTTGTATTTAAATTATTATTCTTAGATTAAATCAATCTAAGTTATAATCTTTTTATAAATGTAATAACTTTATTTTTTATTATATTTTTATTTATTAACTAAGCGCTAAAATGATTTGTTTCGTACTTACCGAATGGTGACAACAAGTCTGGAAGGATTGGTTGTTTATGCCAATTAAACCAATTTTTCATCAAACGGTTTTTCACTAAATCAAAAATGTAATAAAATGTTTCTTGAGTCATTTTTGTATATGTATAAAATCTTTGATCATCAACTTTAATTTTTTTTACAAATAAATGATGGTATTCTCCGAAACGTTTCCTTTCTCTATTTATAGGATGTATAGCTTTTTAAATACACATTTTCTAACAAAACCAAATCATCATCCAATGAGTCCAACATTTTGCTTGCTCTGCTTTACTCTGCTTCCTTTATGTAACTGTAACCAGTAAGGACCAGCAGCGATAAGCACTACTTGTCTTTCATATTTCTTTCTGTATATGGCCTAATTTAACAACCAAAAAACTACATTCAGCACAACAGCATTTGAAGATCATAAGCCCCATGTTGCAAGCACCATGATCACGAAGTTACTATATAGTAGTTACTCCATGATCAAGCACGTGTAACAGTGCCGAAATATTGGAGACTCATAAAAAGGTACATGTTAACAATCTTTTTCTTCTAGGTTACTTGACATATTATTTGTATATGCATGCCCAAGTGGTAGTGAATGAAAAATATAGAATGCAGCAACTGCTAAATATTCTGTTCAAATAATGAAAGTTTATTAATAAATAGGGTAGCTCCTATAGATGATAGGCCTCCTAGCCTTGTCAGTCACTATTAGTGATGGTGCACTTTAGTTTGTATTTTATTATGTATATAAAAGTATGTAGGTATTATTTTTACTTACCCCCACATTACTTTGTTTACCGTGTTGAGTTTCTGAGGACGACTCATCTCAACATGGTAAACATTTTTCCGAGGAACTGACACTGTTAAGGTTTCATATTTCGGTAGCGATGAAGCAAACCTTATTACAGCTACAACGAAAGATAGGTAATTTACACATAAATGTTTTAAAGAAATTACATTGGAAATGTTTGTTTTTTTGTAATTTAAAAAATGGTTTTAAACTTACCACCGTAAATGCTGAATTTATTTGAAAATATTTTTGTCAAAGTATGCATATTAAACGATAAAAGTAAAGTTTAAACTTATAGAAAGTAAATAAGGAATTTAAAAAAAGTTCAAAGTCCGATGATTGTTTTTCTCATATTTTGTTGCTATTGTCATTGTCACTGTCACTGTCATTGCCAGAGTCCCTGCGGTCCGAATTGCGAAAACACTGCCAACGTTACGAACAGTACAAATGGTAGGTCGAATTGAACACCGTGCTATAATCCACTTTAATCGCATTAATGTTTAAATGACTTGACGGTTCAAGAATTCCACTTGTGATAAAAGGAGATCTACACTGCTGTTGGATTCTTTATCAAAACCTTTTAGTGATGTAGTCATTATTTTATTATCTGCCAAGAGAATACAAACAATTTTGAGAAGAGTCATATAATACTATAATGAATACCTTAATCAAATGAAGGAACAGGCGCACACAGTGCACTATCTTATTTTCGTGAGCAGCGTTTGCACGGTTTGATGATGTCACTGATGACGTCACATGGATTTCGTTTGGAACGAATACGTTCTTAACGGACCAGTTGTATGCGCGCTATCGGTGCAAATTGTACGAAATCGCGCAATTCGGACAGCAGCGACAACAGCACTCAATCAAGCTCTCAAGGTCATTGTCGTTATAATTTCTTTATTAAGAAAAACTACGATACTAAATTCATACAGCCTTTTCTTCAGAATTATCATAATTTATCTTTTATAATTAAATGAGATGTTACCTCTATCGATACGATTTTGTGGGGTAGGTAGTAAGCCTCTAAAACCTCCGCAAATGTCAGAATGTCAAACTCATTGACGTCCAAGTGACAGACAGCGCGAGATCTATTCTCCTTCTACGCTATTCTTCCGTTAAAGCGTTCAAGAAACAAGCTGGATCAAAATAAAAAAATACAATGGTGTCGATTCTGGCATGATTCTCTAAACCTAAACTTAAATTTGACAACAGTGTATCCTTGTCATTCTCTATGCAGAATGAAAAGGAGAGACTGATGTTAAATTTAGTTTTAAGTTTAGAGAATCATGCCAGAATCGACACTGTGTAGCCCAATTAATACATAATATACTTTTAACAAATTTAAGCTTTATAGACAGTCCTAAAAAAATAGTAAATACCAAAAATAGTGTCAGCATAAATGGAGACATGGATGACAGAAGGTATTTTTCGATTAATATTTTCATGATTTTTTAATTGTAACGCAAATAGAACTATGATTTTTTCACATCACTGACACGGGTAAATCTAAAGGAACATGAGGATATATCACACTTTGAGATTAAATAATGAGAAAAGAGTACTTTCGACATAATTGCGGACAAAGCGAAACACTTTCAAGACTTTCACCAACTTTCTCTACTCTTCCGTTAAATCACATGAAAATAGCAAAATAGTACGCTCCATGCTCCTGCTTAACGCAGCTCATGTCCTAAAGCAAAACCCCCCTACCCCCCTTTTGGTGACGCCCTTCATCAAGATGTTTGACGGTGTGTTTATCTTTATTTTTTTTACAGCTTAGGGTTATAAATAAAACTACATTTTATTAACTACCAACAGTTATGTATGCTACAAAATCGTAATAAGTAACAATAAGATGCAGTTACAAAACGATGAGGACAGCTTTGTTTTGGGCAACAGCACGCTCGGTAGACCTGGGTTGTGAGGTGTTTGCTTCAAGCTAATGGGTTATAACTGTAGACAAAAAAATATCAATTGGACCATGAGTTCTTAACCGGTGGTCACTGGAAGCATTCAAAGGGGTCCAACAAAGCCAAATATACTAAGCGACCAGCATCGCTTAAACTAATTAATTTTTTTTGAGCACCCTGTAGATATGTAAAAACGAGCCGGTCCAGGTGTTTGCGGCACGATGCCTTCCCCTCACGTCGCTTTGCTATTCACTTCTCGCTCACCAAATGTATTGATATGTTTTAAAAATAATTGAAGGTAACTAACATATTATGTTAATACGATATTGAATCGTATTTGTACTAAGCACACCGGATAAATCCTTGCGATTATGGCGTGCTTTTTAGCTCTGTAAAGATAACAAATATTTGAAATGCAATAAATTAATAAAAAAATTACACATTGCCTGACGATTGCAAAACCCGAATTGCAAGGCCAGATTTAGAGGTGTGGAGGCTCCGGGGAAACGAAGGAGTGGAGGCCTTTATTTTAAGCCGTTTTCCAGTCCTCCCATTGTTTTTTTTTATCTCTGTTATGGGTACAAGAGGTTGTCTTGTGGGAGCCCCTGGGCCACAGCTTTGCATGCCTTAACTCCGGCCCTGACTTCACAACCACCTTATAATTTAAATCACATAACACAGAAAGAGGTTCTGTGTCGTATTGTTTGAATCGCACTATACTTAGGTAAAGCCAGAGTAGACGACAACTCACAGGAAGCTGTGACGTTCTGTCCCAAGTTGATGAGTTGTGCTAACTGTTCCAGCCTGTTGACGGTGTGGTGAGCGTGAGCCAAAGCGAGAGCGGCCAGGATGGAGGTGCCGTTGGAGTCATTCCTGAACAAACCAAAAGTTAAAGATTATCACCAACGATATATCATTGATTATATATTGTTTTAAACTTTCATGGTCACTAACATCCGAAGTTGGAGTTCAAAAAACTAGTACGTGCACACTATCTGTCGATCTAATATTTCTCTAATCTTAAGTTATCTGTAACATCATATTTAGATATTTCTACCTAGTTATATAATTATATGTGTATTTATGATATTTCATTTATATATAATATGTATTTCAGGGCTTTAAACCGGTTTCAAAAATATCGGTAAATAAAGCTAATACCGGTTTTTAGTAAAGGTTTCGTTTGGAGCGCGTCCGAAATGAAAGCGGTACCTAAAACCTTAATAAACCAGTATAATCCAGAGCGACACGTGCACGCGTCGGCATCACTTAAAGTTTGTTTTGTTTGAACTAATCAAGTCATCATCATCATTATCATCAGCCTATTAATGTCCCCACTGCTGGGGCACAGGCCTTCCCTATGGATCGATTAGGGAGATTGGGCTATGACCCAACACGCGGGCCCAGTGCGAGGTGGTGGGTGCTAACGACTGCAGATGCAGCCGGGACCAACGGCTTAACGTGCCTTCCGAAGCACGGAGGAGCTCGAGATAGTAAATTTTTGGTCACTCATCCAATGACCAACCACTGCGAAAGTTGCTCAACTTCAACGACCGCAGCCGAACGCGCTAACTACTGGCGCCATCGAGCTCCTCAAGTCACAACTTGTTAATGCTCAGAGATTGATGCATTGATTGACACGTTTAGCATCTAGTGAGTCAAGTTATTCATTTTGTAGTTGTGTATTTATTTCAGCCGTCAGTAAGAGCGAAATGAAACCCTTTAAAAACCGCTTAATTAATTCAAAACCTATTTGATTTCGCGTTTTACGAAAACCGGTTTTTACAAAGTTAAGGTAGAGCCAAACCTAAATAAAACGCTCCTAATGTACTTGATACTGATTTAGGTTTGAAAATTAACCGGTAAACAAGACCTGATGTATTTATCGTTTGTTATAGTAGGTATAGTAAAGTAGGATAATATTTTTTTTTCTAACTTTAGTACCTCGCACTCGGTCGCCATAACATTCGTCTCCCACACCCTTACTGGTTAACTGGTAGAGAATGCCTATGGCATTAAGTCCGCCATTTACTGTATTTTAGTAAAAAAGAGTAAAAGAAATAAATAACATTATAGTCATTTATGGGATTATTTACGGGATTGTTACCATGTACCTTGTTTTTAGCGAATTTCCGATATTTCGACACTGTTGCAAGCGCCATGATAACGGAGTAACTGTTACTCCGCGATCATGGCGCTTGCAACAGTGCTTTCTAAAAACAAGGTACCTAAATGGTAACAATCCCGTAAATAACATAAATTACTATCATTGATTATATTCATTATTATCAGCCTATTAATGTTCCCACTGGTACGGCGGAATATGGAATAGGGAGATTGGGCCACGACAATCCACCACGCGGACCCAGTGCGGATAGTACGAAGCACGGGATATCGAGATAGTAAAGTTTTGGTCGCCCATCCAATGACCGACTACTGCTAAAGTTAGTTAACCTTGCACGATCGCACTTGCGCCACCAAGCTCATCCTTAAGAATATTAATTACATACAATACACTTTAGGTACCTACTTAATTAGGAACCATACAAAAGATTTATTCCAATGCAGTTGGTTGTGATTCTATTAGCCGGAAAATGATCCTTCCCATCCTTGAAATTTTAACTCCCATTATTACCCACATCCTAAATACTTCTATTTTGACCGGAGTTTTTCCTGCATCTTGGAAGGATGCAAACCTTATCCCAATTCCTAAAAAAAACAATCCTGGCTCTTTTTCTGAATATCGTCCCATTTCCATTCTTCCTTTTCTTTCCAAAGTTCTGGAGAAGCTAGTTTATCGGCAACTTACAAGTTTTCTTAACCAAAACCAACTTCTAAACCCCTTTCAGTCCGGTTTTCGTACCGGTCACAGCACTACTACTGCATTGATTAAGATCTCGGATGACATTCGATGTGGCATGGAGAATCGTCAACTTACACTGATGACGTTGCTTGACTTGAGCAACGCCTTCAACTCTGTTGATTTTGATATTCTTCTTGCTGTTCTACGTTCTCTTAACATATCTCCAGCGGCTATTGATTGGTTTCAAAGTTACCTGCTAGGACGCCGGCAGCGTATCTGCATCGAAGGCAACTTCTCTGCGTGGTGCACTATCAATGCCGGAGTTCCTCAGGGTGGCGTCTTATCTCCTCTTCTCTTTTCTCTCTTTATTAATTCGATCTCACAAACACTTTCCAGTTCCTATCACCTTTACGCTGATGACCTACAGATCTACACTCAAGCATCGCTATCTGATATCTCAAACGCTATAGCAACTACCAATTCAGACCTAGCTATAATTAGTAGTTGGATAAGTCATTCGGCCTTACTGTAAATCCTTTAAAAACGCAGACTATTATAATAGGCAGTCCGTACTTTGTTTCCAGGATTGATTTTGGATTATTGCCCCCTATTATTTTTGATAGTAT